CGAAAAAGACGGAAGTTTACATTAAAAGCTTTGAACCTAACCTACATAAAGTAAGAGAAGTTTACATTAAAAGACATGAAGTACCTAAAATACATGAGATTAGAAAAAAAAAGTGTTTTCCCTCTATTAGGTTTGTTGGGATAGCGATCCCGAATAGGTTTAAGGAGTGAGTAGAAAGAAGCGGTTGCAAAATGAGTGGGAGAGGAGAGAGCCCCTCTTGCCCTCATGCTCAAGGCACTATATATAGACAACGGTAATTTACAAGCACCCTTGGTGGGGGCGAGTTTTACATGCCACTCCAATGGCGCTAGTTGGACCTCTTCTAGGGGGACTTGGCCCATATGATTATAGGCTCTCCCAAAGTAGCTCCTCATCTACTAGGTTATGTCTGGTACTACATGTCCTGATAGATGCCCATACCAGAAGAAGCACAAGTACAACTCAAGCCTTGGTTGTGAGGATTGCCCTTCGCAACCTACGCGTGCGCGCCTCGCTAGAAACTCCATCCCAAAACCCTATGGGAAAAAAGGGATGGAGAAAAGAGCATGTGTACGACTCTAGCCTATACATGTGCTGACTCCTGAGGCTTCTAGCTCCAAGTGCCTTGATGTTGATGTTCCCGATGTCTTCATTTTTAGGCTTCGGCTTCCTTCCACCGCCTTTGTGACATGGTTCGTCGGTTTCACATGTCTTCATACATGCTTTCACAATATTTTTATTAGAAGTTCTTTGATAGGTGCACTCCTTCCCATTAGGAAAATTCCTATACATAGGAGCAAATTCAAGGGAAAATTAGTATTTTTTTTAGTTGAATTGACACTATTAACTCCTCTAAACGGAGCATGGATAAACTTTGCCTTGGTTTTGAAAAAGCAGGGGCAAAATCACAATGTGAATAAATGAGGAAAAATCACAATTCGACTTCAAAACCATGGTAGGAACACAAGATCCCCCTTAAAATTTTGAGATAATATCTCCCATATTTGTGCTTAACTATAGAGTTTCAATTTTATCAAATGTCATACATGTTTAATTTATAATTCAAATTTTGAATTGAGTATACATGGATGTACACTTTGAAGCATAGAAGTCCTAAGTTTGTGAATAGCGTAGAACATTCTATAGTGAATGCCTCCGAGGCGCGTATAACACAAATAGTTATGGGCAGCAATGGAGCTTGATGGTGAAACAAGAGGGGGCCATCAGCACTAATTTCTTACTTTAATATGCATACTTATTAATTTTAATCACTAGTTTAATAGCTACTTAATGGAATTTTCAATTAGAAAGGAGGGGCCATGGCATTCTTTGGCCTGCATGTAGCTCCGCTAGTGGTTATGGGGGGTGATGGATTTTGTATACTACACATGTGTTGATTGCAAGAATTAGAAGCAATGTAAAAACATTATGCAATCCGTTGTCAATTTTTTGTGATAGGTTTCAAAGCACACTATATGAGTTAGACTATGGGAAGATGATAACAAGTTAGCTATTGAAACTGGTGTCAGTCAACCATCAAAAGCATTTCCTAATGGCAATTGTTGACTGTTCTAACTCGTCAGATTTGAAGGTCATATTCTTGTCATGAAAACTTGACAAGGTATTGACAGCAAGAATTTGTTGAATCGGTGTCAACTCGAGAAAAAAACATTACATTGTTGACACAGAGCACATATTTCATCGATGTTCTGTTATTGCTTGAGGAGCTATTGAGTACCAGTGGGATCAATACTTCCTCAGTTCTAATATTTAGGTTGTTTTAGTTTTGTTCTAAACCAAACTTATATAATTTAGACCAAGTTCAAATAAAAGTATATAAACATCTACAATGTTAAATATTTTTGCTAAATCTACCATTGAAGCATGTGCATTTATTTAGATTTTAATATATGTACTTTTTGTAACTTAATTAAAGTTCACGAGTTTGACTTAGAATAAAACTAAGTCAATATCAATATCAATATATATATGCCCCTGTTTTTTTTATGATGTGCATTTCATTGTTCGATGGTGTCATCGAGTGATTTTGATGGATCATCATGGCCATGTTTGGAGCGGGCACCAACACATCGTGTCTAGCTAGCCCTAGAGCTTGCCATTCCTGAGCTCAAGAGAAAGCTACATGTCATGGCAAAGCTAGAGAACAACCTATGGTCCTGTTTGGTACAGCTTATATGGGAAGCGCTTTCCAGATAAGCTATATAAATAGAGTAAAAGCGACGATTAAAATAAGCTGGTCTGATCCAGTTTCTACTTTTTAGTATAAATAGGAGCTGTGGGAATAAACGTGGCTAGAATAAACTACTGACGCGACATTTGACTATTTCAGCTTATTTTGGTCGTAAGCGGATTATTCTTTACGGAAGTTGGACATGTCGGTCCAAACGAGTTGGTCGCCCTCTCCGCAGTCACAGCATCGTCTCATCTGTCGGGCCACTTGAACCACCGGCGTGCATGTCGACGGAGATGCGGCTGAGGCGTACGGCGGCATTTATTTATTTCACCGAGACCGAGACATTGACGTGGCCAAGTCAGAAATTTGTAGGACCCGTACAATTCTTATATTGTACAAAAATATTTATCTAAAAATATAATAGTTCTCTACAATATATATAAAGAAAAATATCCTTTGCGCTTTGCCGACAAGCCCGGAGAGCAGCCCGGGGTCACTGGACGGTGGCTCCAGCAGCGGAAGTTATGTGGTCGTCCTGTATAGGAGGAAGAAAAACAGACAGAGGCAAAAGAAGAGATCACATGGAGATGGAATGGAGGGAGAAGGTGTATCTCAGAATCTTCTTTCCTGGACGCATGCTACGCATTGTATTGGCTTTGGCTCAGCTGAGCTGATCACCCAATGCATGTAACAGTAACAGCTGTTGTATCCGTATGGACCATTTGGTTCTTTGGATGTGAGATTTGAAGGAAAGCAGCAGCTAATTTAAGCTACCCCTATGCGATAGCAACAGTGCAGTGAGGTAACATGGCCTGGCCATGTCCTGCTAGCATGCCGACGCAGCTCAAGCCTCAAGAGGATTATATTTGTGGGGATAAATCATAGATGGATGAAAGCCAAGCAACAAAGAAAGGAGGCATGTCATGACATGGTCACATGCGGCCTTGGGGCACCTGGAACCGAGATTTCAGCATCTTGTTCCTCCTCCCTACTTCTTTGTGTTGCTCTGGTCCCTCACTCCCTCCCATTTCAACGTTCCTATGCTTTTGATCAAGCTTGGCAGAGCCTCGTAGCAAGAAAAAGCTCTACCATTGGACATTTGTGTTGCAGACATTCACGTTTTAAGTATTCCATACCTTAATAAATCATGTACTAATTTTTTTTTGGGAACGTGACTTCACACGTTTTTTTATTAAGGAGATAAACCATGTACTAATACTCATACACGACGAGGAATCCGAATCCCCAAAGCCAAAGTAGCAGAGTACCTAGCTCAGCTCAGCTCCAGCCAAGAGAGGATGGCATCATCCACATCCATGGATGCCACCACTCACCACTGTCATTCCATTATGCAGACAGCGCGCATCAGATTAGGGCACCCCCAACCTAGGCAGCACCTGCCGTTGGCCCTGGGCTAAAAGGACCGGTGCACGTATATCTAGCCAAGTCCCATCCATCTGTCCACCGTACTTTTCTCCCCATGGACCACACTCCCAAGACACATCTGACAGTAGCTCCAAGCTTTTGACTGACGATACTATTACTTCCTCTGCAGGCCACTCTGCATGCCTGCGAGGCTACTAGTCTCCTTGACATGGATGTTTCGTGCCAGCGTGGAGCCTAGGGCAGTACACCACGTCCTTGCGTCGGGGAAGCCCTTAAAGACCAACTGGCAGGCAGGGAGTACCGATGGCGAATCACAAACACACACAGGTTCTTCTGCTGCTTTAATCAAGACCAAAGGTTCCTTGCACTACCTTTGGCGAGTCCTGCGGTTTTTATCAGCCACCCAACTAGAGAAATTCACAGCAGTAGTTACCACCCTGTGAATTGTGATGGCAATTGGGTGGATCTGGATCACCACAAGTTCCAGGCAAACCAAACAATCTGGGCATCCATCCATTACTATGATGTCCTTCCTTCAGCAGAGCACCGACAACAGAGAAGAACAGTGTGCCAAACGATAAGAAATCAAAAAATGGTCACCGAAATTTGATGTAGAAACTAATATAACGCTCTTTTTATTCCAAAAAAAACTCTCTTTATATACTATACTAGCAACTAATATAACGCTCTTTTTATTCCACAAAATCTCCATGCATCACCTCCGTGAACATGCACGCCGGTGGCCGGCCGGCCGGCCTTCAAGTGGCCCAACAGATGAGATGCAGAGAGGCCGACCGACTCATTCACTGCTCGTTTGGACCGACATGTCCAAAATCTGGAAAGGTAACTGTCATGGCCAGCATCCTTGTAGTCAAAACCACACTACTCCAATCAATCTGCGCAAAAATCCGATCCTACTTTCAACAATGCTTTCTAGCAAGTCACAGAGTTTAATAACATTACAAAGAAAAATAAGCCACCCTATATGATCACATCACATATACAACAAACTATCAAGCATTGACGGATCTTATATCCGGGCAATGCCCATAAGATCCTGGCACAAGGACAAGGAAAACAAGCAGGGAAGATCGCAAGCAAGAAATCACACAGTCCAGGTTTACTAATCTCCTCTCTTTTTTTCTTTCTTAATAATGTCATTAAAACGAACACATCTTAGTCTCTCTTCTTTCTTTTCCACAAAAGAAGCCACCACCACCAGAATGCTGCCTGCAAAACTAGCTTTTTCACCCAACGAAACTAGAGCCTAACTATTCATCTTTTTTTTTTCCTTTTTTGATAACATATAGAAGCTAGGAACCACCAACCAAGACAGGCATTCTACCAAAAGAAAGGAAAATAGAAGCCTTGGGCACCAAAGATCATAACCCAGAAGAGGTCAAAAAATTGTGAAGCCAAAAACAAAAGCTCCTGCTGGCCACTAGACGTCACAACTGTCAACCCGGACCGGCATCGAACCAATTGTCACCACACCAACTGTGTTAGTCTTACGGTCAGCCTCCACTGCGTTGGAACCAATTTTGAGGGAACCAAGTTTGGCAGCGACCCCCTGCTCCTCGCCACCCTCTGGAACAGCACTCGCAGAGCCACTGACTCCATTTAGCCGCTTCTCCACACCAACTGTGTTAGTCTTACAGTCAGCCTCCACTGCCTTGGAACCGATTTTGAGAGAACCAAGTTTAGCAGTGACCCTCTGCTCCTCGCCACCCTCTGGAACTGCGCTTGCAGAGCCACTAACTCCATTTAGCCGCTTTTCAGGTGCTTTCAGTGAGCCCTGGGCAGCACCACTGTCTGCATGCTGCTTTGGATTTTCGACCTTCTTCCAGTACTGCTGTTTCCCCTCCGCACCTGCCTTCAAGCTTGAAGCTGGTGGATGGTTAGTTACAGCTTTCGCTGCATCCTCTTGGCTCTGATTGCCACTGCAATGACTTTCCTGTACTCCATTCTCTTTCTCAGCCTCATTGGTCTGGTTTTCAGAGACACACGGTTCCTGAGGTTTGATCACCTTAGCATCATGCGGCTTCTCGGCCACATTTTGTATCTCAGATGTTTTGTCTACCAGCACGCTGCTGGATTTTGTCTGCTGAGTGTCAGAAGCATCTTTTTATGCCAGCTGCGACAGGTACAAAGTCTGGAGCATTGTAACTCAGCTTGCACCTTCTGTGTGTTTTCTTTTGCGCCTCTTCTGCCTCATATCTCATAAAATCATCAAACAAGCAGAACCTCGCTTTGATGTTTTTGAAGATCTCGATCATAGATATTCCAGGGAGGTATGGTATCTGCAAATGAGACATTGCGACAGATCATGACATGAGGTCTCCACATTCATATGAGAGCAAAGTTATTACGGCAGCTGACTACGGAAATGCTCAAGAGAAATAAACTACTTACTGAAATCAAACAATTTAACAGTACTGAAACAAATTCAATGCAAAACAGGGCATGGCACACTTACTTCCTGTGTATCTCTGCTGTGTGTCACAGGCTTGTTTTCATTATTCTGCAGTGTGATATGCTGCAAAAGAACAATTTTGTATATCTTTAACGATGTGCCATCTCACAGGAAAGCATCCGGTCCATTTATCCTGACACCAGAAGTCCATGTCCTTGTGAAAATCAACAGGTCCAACCATCTCAGCCATGCCACAGAAGTGCCCACTACCATTGACCTGATAAACATAATAAAAGAATTCAATTGTTGAACTTCAAGCACGATAAATGTTATGGATATTCAATAAATCAATACTCACAGAGAAGAACAAGAAAACTGGACATTTAGTAGAATGCCTCCTTGATATCCTGTCAGCATCCCTGAATGCACTATCTAGCTTGCTGTTTCCATTGAAGGAACTTGACCATACACCATACTTTATCGATTTGTGCACATCTGCCTCACCAATTGACTTGATAACAAAGAACTTTGCATACGTATAGTCAATTCGGAGATCATCTCTGTTGTACTGGTCGGTTCTTATAATGATTGTCCCATCCGGATTACCGACAGGGAGCCTTGATGTGTAAGATTTCACAACTATGGCAGAGCTCTGATTGCTTGGTTTCTCAGAATCAACTAAGCTATGCACTTTTTGGCCAGTACCATTTAGATGACCACTTGACTTTGAAGATGGCTGGAATTTCTCAGCGGCAGCCCACTTCTGAAGATCAGATCCAGCAGCACATCCAAGGCAATTGTTTCCAGACAAATGTGCTGATACCTGTCATAAACAAGACACGTCAGTTGGGGACAGATGACACACAGCTTACTACAAGTAAAACATGCTATATTGAAAACAAGCAATAAAAAATCAGTACAATATTTATATACCATGCATCGGCTCACCACTATAGAAGCAAACTACAGTTTGCTAAAGAACACCCCCCTCCCCGAACTCAATTAAGACCCACAGTACAGCATAGAAATAGGAAAACCTGTCTACCCTTTGGGTTTAGGTAAAACAAGACCAACACCAACACACACACACACACACACACCCCACCAAAAAAAAACATAATCATGTCCAAAACATTCATGGATGGAATATGTGTTTATAATTTCAGAGTTCATTTAGCTAAAAGTAATCCCAAAAACAAAAAGGTAATGACCCTTATAAGTTACTGAAAGTTAACTTCTGAACGACTTCCAAAACTTAGGTTCCTTGCTAAAGGTGTTTTAATGAACTACCAGTACCCCACCCGAAGCAATCCTGGAAAAAACTTCAGCATGAAGACCAGACATCGAGTGGTGTGATACATTGAGTGAATGAAGTTACCTAATAAACATTCTACTAAAAAGTTAACTTTGATTACAATGGTGTGAACATGTTCATGAGGGATCAGATTATCATGTGGAGGCGGCACAATACAGGCCCTACCCGAAAAGGCGAATCTTACAGTGGTTCAGGAAAGTTAATAATTCCTTCTATAGATAAGAATTAATCACAAATACACTGTAACTTGACAAAAGAAAGGCCGATCAGTAATGACTTATAAATTTGCCTACCTGAGAAGCATGAGGGAGTTTAGCAGGCACCATGCATCTATCCGGCAACTCTTGCTTCTGGGGAACCAAATTGTGCAGTTGAACCTTTGGTGGTTTTGCATGGTCCTGGAACTGCTTTGAAGGTACAATAGTAGACTGTACAGGTGGATGCATAACAATGTCGCTTTTTGTGGTGACGGGAGCAATTAAAGGAAATGCTGCATTTGCAGATGTTGCAGCATAACCTGGTATGCCAGGAAGAAATGCAACATTGGGGGAGTGAAGAGGTGTGGTTGCGCTTCCCGGGACACTATCTTGTGCATAAGGAAGAACAGCTGGAATGTAATAGGATGTCGGGGCTATTTGGCATGTGGAGTTAGCAGGGTCAGCAACATACTCCTGAGGCATAAATGAGCCATCGGGTACGAAAGAAGGATCAGAAGGGTAAGGACTGTAGGTAGGATGCATGGATCCATTGTCTGGGGCTGCGTAGTATACGCATTGCATGCCTTCAGCCTGCAAACAACCCAAAAGGAATGAACATATTAAAACACATGACTGTAAAGGGCACCAATTAAGTATCAAGTCTTTTATATTGTATATACTAACCGGATAGTAAATATCTTGGCCATCATATCCTAAAGAGCTCGGGTGGTTATACCATTCCATCGGTGATCCAACTTCTGCATTTGACAAATTGGTTACCATCAGATGAAATACTGAAAGGAGGGAAGCACCAAGGACAGGCATAATACAAAGATAGGACATTTCCTTTTACCTGCATAACCATATTGGTAGGGATTTGCAGTAGCAGGAACAAATACATTTTGTCCATACATTACTTCAGGAGTCATTCCCATCTCCATGCAATTCACACTTTTGAACAAGCACCTTGCTCTACTCCAATGTTCAGAGTGAGCTGGAATTAAAAGTGATAGGGCTGTTATTGACAATTTAAATATTCCATTCCATGCAAAAATAGATAAATACAAATGAAGGTCTGATCACTTAAAATGTAGCACGGTGTGCTGCATCACATCATTGTTCATAACCATTTTGCATCAATGCTCAACGAGCAATGGGAAGAGGCACGCATACAATGAATAGCAGACTGGTAAAGAAAGATGCGGCACAAAAGAATAAGTAAAACATATGTAGTAGGTTATATTTGGAAGTCACCGGAAACAGACATCATCACCAAGTTTGCTGTAGATAAAATAATAGACCAAACAGCCAGATGTCTGCATTTTTACCAAAGATATATATTTCCATATGCGATACCAATTTCATGGTCAACTAAAAAACCCTTATTCTTGCATTATTATATGTATGACACATCTAAGTTTGGAAGGATATAGGTACAGGTTGAACCTTTGGCTGTTTGCAAGTTTAGGGTGGGCCTAAGGGACGGTGGCCAAATCATCTCTCCATGCAGATCTTCAATAGCATACAAAACTTCGTGGAAGTAACGACTAATTGTTCCCACATATCTTAGTACTATAAAACTTAGACCACTTGTTTGTTTTGAATGATTCACAAGGTTCAGATTTCGAACACTTCAACTAGTAGCAATTTCAGAACAACCGCAAGCATACATGGGACAAGAGTCTGAATCTTGGAGGGTAGCAAGCAGCTTATATGTATTCATTCATTCATCAAAAAAAGAAAGACAACAGGCATGTTTACTTGATTGCAAGAATATCAAGGCTAGAGTCTCCGTCTTGAAATGATAAATTGTTTCTAATGCTACAATACATGCCTTTCTACATATACTAGATATATACTTCTCAGTGTATCCCTTATTCCCTTTCTTTTGATTTCGTTCAAGATTGAAGTAAACAACAAAAGGACAGAATTTGCAGCTCAGAACTAATCCCAACCTAGAGCATAGCGTATAGCATAGACAGATACAGAAGAAGCTAGGTTACCTTGCTGCCCTGGATGGAGGAGCCTCCGATCCTTAGCTTTGCTGGTGATACAGAGGAAGGCCTGAATCCGATCCTTTGCTTTGCTGGTGATACAGAGGAAGGCCTGAAAACGAGAAAGGAGAGGTCAGGCGAGGAGGATCTGGGCGGCCGTCGGGGAAAACAAACAAAGCAGCGGCAAGGCGGCGTAGATCCGGCCATTAGATTCAAACCGCATCCGCCGATTGACTGGCGCGCGACCAAAATCGATGGCGGATCCGGTCGGAGAAGGATCCGGTGCGGTGCGTGTAGACCCACCCGAGACGGAACGGAGGGAGGGAGGTCGCCGGAGGGGAACGATTCCTTGGCCCGAGGAGGTGGGGAGGACGAGATCCCGGAGGCGGGCGAGCTGGCGAGGCGAAGGCGAGGGGAGGCGCGTGGGTTGTGGTTTGACGGATGGAGGCGCCGTGCGCGAGTAACCCTAGAGCTAGGTCGGTTCGCTTCCAAAAGATAGGTCGGGCCAGGCTGCGGTGCTAGTTGGATTTGGGCTGCGGCTTATCAGGCAGGCCCAACCAGGCACACCCTGCCTGCTCGGTGACGTGGCCTGTGGGCTTCAACCTGGGCTGGACCCAGCTGGCAGTGGCCATCCACTCAAAAAAAAAAAAACTGGCAGTGTAGTGGCCAATTATTTTGCTTGCTTCTACGACAAGTTTCAGTGAATGCTTTTTTTCCCCTTTTTGAAGATGAAGAAAAAATAAATGTATGCCCTTTTCCCTGCCGGTTATAGTGAAAAGCTACGAATGTTTAGGAATGGTGAGGGAGTCACTGACGTGTGGGCCATCCTATGTAGGGCCCATAGTGTAGTGGCACGCCCCATGGCGTCCTTCGTTGAGACTGGCTGCGATTGGCAGTGCTTGTTGCACCAACAGCAGCACCACTCACCAAGCATTTTCGAAATCAAGCAACCACAGCTGTAGTGGGCTAGGTTATGCTTTTTAGATGGGCAGGTCATTTTATATACGCTGCTAAATAGACTAGTCTAGTTGAGAAATTAAGAGTATTACAATTCAATATGAGCTGCTCTACTATGATGGACTTTCCAAAAATCTATGAGCTTGTTCGGCTGAGCAAGAAGTCGGCGTGTTCGGCTTGTTTTTCTTGCTGGGACAGTGTTTTTCTCTCACAACAAACCAGCGTGAACAGTGTTTTTTCAGTCCAGCCGAACAAGCTCTATAATTATAGGTTTGTGTACTAAACCCCAAAACCACGCATGCAAGCTCGCATGATATGACTTTTTGCCTATTAACAAACCTGCAATTAGAAAAATTCGCGTATGCTTATACTTTTCACCACTTGGGATGAGGTCCCTCATGGTTTAGAGAGGTTGGTGTCCGGCGATTTGGTGTGATCGATGAGTAATGGAAATTATTTCCAGTTTCAAAAAATATAAATAGTAAAAAATCCATCAGATTTAGGGTTTTAGGTACACGGTGCCATCTCTAGGTGTAGTACTGGATAATGAGAAACTGGCATACTCCATTTGTCTCAAAATAAATATACATCTCGTACTTTGAGAAGTCGAATGATCTCAAGCTTGACTAAATTTATAGAAAAAGTAGTATTAACATTTGTATCTCTAAGTGTCTGTTTGGATCCATTAGCTCAAAATAGTTAGAGCAACCCCAATAGCTCGCCTATTCTTGTTTTTTAGGCTATTTTAAAATTTGTATGGCAAAAAGTAGGCTCCAACGGATATGCTATCTAGTTTTGTAAAATAGAAAGTTGGCTATCTCTTGATTTTAGGTAGCCATATAAAACCAACCATGGGTGCTAGCTATCTGAAGATGAGAAATAGCAAGGCTCTTGCATACCTCTTCTTTTTTTTAGAAGTTTTCTATTTTACAAAATGGCTAAACTATAAAATTTGGCTAGTAATTTTAGTCAAACTGTTGGAGTGGCTCTATGCTAGCTAATAGGTCGCAACTATTATTAGTTGTTATTAGCTACCTTGGTTCAACCAATAACATAGTTGTTATTGTTAGTTGAGTATAAAGCTAACAATTAGGTAGACCGGTTTGATCGAAATAACTAATTATTATTACTAGCTAATTAATTCTCCTTAGATCCAAATAGGGGCTAAATAGGACTTGATGTAGACTAGGCCCGATCTTCCGAAAGGTATGATAGCGTCGATTGATGGAGACTCGACATTCACGATCTAGGCTTCAAACCAAAACTGATTCGGACCCCCGCAACCATTACACCACTGCTCCGTTGGTTATCAACCACGCGAACGCGATTGACCTCGCCGAGAAGGCTTTCCTACAAGCGAATCGAGAACACAAGCAAAAACGGGATGAATGCAATATGAAATTATTAGTAAATATGAGACTTATGAAAACAAGAAAGGAGTTCAAGTCTTTATTCGAAAGGACTAATCGCCACAGACGAACAAGATCAAGAACTGGGGCCCTGGTTCACAGCAAGCGGCCTTGGCGGCGATAGTTGTAGCAAAACAATGTATATTTCACGAGAAAATCAAGAACTAAACAAAACCCAAACCATAAGGAGAGCGACGACTGCTAAATAAAGAGTCTTGGGCGTCACCCCCCTGGACGAGCCCCTAATGGGCCCAAACACGATACACGGTCCAACGGACCAAATTACGGTGTCGCAGCACCCTGGCAGATTTTTGGCGCTGACTTGTGACCACGATTTCTGTTGATTCCGAACATCTTTTGATGTGAGACCACTTGGATTGGCTTCCTTATCAAATTAGCTTTCCATCCATATGTGGATCGTCGAAAACAGAGTCCGGATGCATCATGGGTGACCAGTTTAAGACAGACTGGTCCTGAAGACCGAGGCAGACTCGAACTTGAGTTGCTTTGAGCCTCCACCTCGGGGACTCAAACCGAATTAGCTTCGGGCCTCCTTCTCGCTTAGGACACCCTCGCTGATCTTCTTGGTCTCCATATGGTTCTCCAAGCATGGTCATATGTATGGAGGTCATGTCCTCATCATCCTCCCTTTCTTGACGAAAAGCCGTCCTCGGCGTCGATTTTGTTTAAAGTCGATCCTGCACAACATGAGGACAAATGAGGTTTCCAAAATAATGGGAATGGACAATGTTGTGAGAAAGAATATGACCATAAGTCCAGGTTTGTAGCATGTCTTGTCCTACAGACATGTAGTCTGCTCGATTGAAATACACACGATCCTTGCCCATACTATCCTGCAAAAGATTAGTACTAACAAAAAACATATGCTCCCTTTCTTTAAATTTTACTTGTGTTCGAAAAGCAAAACTAGAGAAATATGGCATAACAACAGTGTTGATTTTACTGTCCTCTATTTGATCATTACTTTGCACAATAAAAGGAGAATTCGGATTTGTACAAATGTAAACTTGTTGTATCAAATATTGCCCTTGGTTGTTATATTTACCAAAAACATGATATGTATATCTAGAGAACCATGGTAAATCAGCATATGTATAAAGTTTCTCCTCTAAAGAACTAAGATTACACGGAACATCAAATTCAATATAACCCAAAGTATTTAAAGAAGACAACAATTTCAGCTCATCAACTTCACTAGCATTATGAATAACAAGTCTATTTTCAGCACAAGTGCTCAATTTCAGCTCACATATAGCGTGATCATTCTTCAATGATTGTATGGGTATAACATAAATATCATCATGCAAGTTATCTTCATCACAAGAAACATCAAGCAAATCATCTTGTGACAAAGGTAAATTAAGCGAAGGCTCCACTAAAATTTGCTCTATCATAGCATGATTGGTGGAAAAATTCAGCACATGAAGAGAACTCTCACCTTCCGTGAGTTTAGCATCGTCGGTATTACCTTTGCTCTCATGTTCAGCAGGAGTAATAGTTGATGGTTCTGAATTTTCACATGAGACCGTGAGCATCTCCTTTTCTATCACGTCATCCTCGCTCTTTTGTACATTATTCTACAAAAGGTTAGGCATAGCAGGAGGAATAACAAGAGATTGATCTAGTTTATGCACATCATCATTTGAATTAATTACAAGAGATGGATTAACAAAATTTTCTCTCATAAGATGTTTCATATCATTCCAAGTTTAAGGTTTATTAGAAGGATCTAAAGACTCCCACCAAGATAAAGCAGAATATCGCAAAACACTAGCTGCATTTTTTACCTTCCTCCTTGGACACATAAAGCGAGTAGCAAATATGTTATCGATGGCAATTTTCCACTCTATGTACTCATCAGCACCTATACCATCATAAGTCGGTGGATACGAACAACCTGTCATTGTTAGAAGACAGCAAAAGACTACACAAAAGTATTATCCGTATCAACTACTTAGGTTGTGGAGAAGAAAAAATAAGGCACTCAACTCTCAAGCGTCTTATCACGATCTTACAAGTGTTTTTACCAAAGCAACAGGCGGTGCAATCGGTCGGTGACTGTGATACCGTTGTAGCTTGAATGTAACAGTTGCAAGGCGAACCTGTACTTGGTTAGAAGAAAGTGGAGCTTAAACAGGCACAATATAGTAGCAAGGAATAGCAAAATTCGCAACTGAATAGCAAAGTTGAATAAGTATTCTAAGTACTTATCTTAGTTGCTGACCTACTCACGTTCCAAGTACCAGATGTATCAAGTGATATGAACAACAAGAATATGATCAGGAACAAGGTAGAAATCAGCACACGCAAACACAGCTCAAATGACGCTCTCTATGTGCTCCTCTAGATATTGTTCCTCTTTTGCGCCTCTCTTTTTTTCTATTTTTTGGGTTGTTGTTGTTTTTTTTGGGAAATTTCGACTTTTTCTTTTTATTTTTTTTGATATTTTTCCTTTACTTAGGAGCACAAAAGAAGTGACCACAGAAAATATGAGCTTAAATAAGTGAAAGACGTGGCCTGTGGAATTTTCAGAAAACCTGCTCAAAATCGACAAAAACCTTGTAACCACGAAAAGATGATCTTGTGACCACTTTTTGACCGATCTAAAATTTTTGAACCCCGGCAACACCGAGGATGGACGGATCCAAAAAAAATTCTGATCGATTTTGATATATGTAACGTCGAAAACGGAGTTCGTATGCGAAAACTAGACCAGTTTTACGAATCGACTCCGAATTAGAGGATAAAACGGGAACAATGCGCGCAAAAGTTGTCACGGCAGCAAGGATTTGATGGAAACAGTGAAAAAAAGTAACAAAATAGATGGCGTGAACTAGGGTTTGATGGATACAAAGTAAACTCATCAAGATTTGAAGGTGTTTACGGATTGTAATGAAAAACAAAGGAAAAAACACAAACTGGACTCAAAACGATCGAAAATCAGCAACCAGAACTTGACCTAGGACACAAACTCAACAACGCAAAACAAAAACAAAATTGCACGGCACAATGAGGCTATAGGACAGGGAATATGTGGTGACGTATATATTTTTTTGGTTTTTTGTGGACTATAGGTAATGCAAAAACAGTAACAATCTAAAGGGGAAAACAAAATTATACCTAACGAGCAATAAGGGCTCTGATATAACTTGATGTAGACTAGGCCTGATCTTCCGAAAAGTATGATAGCGTCGATTGATGGAGACTCGACGTTCACGATCTAGGCTTCAAACCAAAACTGATTCGGACCCCCGCAACCGTTACACCACTGCTCCGTTGGTTATCAACCACGCGAACGCGATTAACCTCGCCGAGAAGGCTTTCCTACAAGCGAATCGAGAACACAAGCAAGAACGGGATGAACGCAATCTGAAATTGCAAGTAAATATGAGACTTATGAAAACAACAAGGGGTTCAAGTCTTTATTCGAAAGAACTAGTCGCCACAGGCGAACAAGATCAAGAACTAGAGCCCTGGTTCACAGCAAACGGCCGTGGCGGCGACAGTTGCAGCAAAACAATGTCTGTTTCACGAGGAAATCAAGAACTAAACAAAACCCAAACCCTAAGTAGAGCGACGGCTGCTAAATAAAGAGTCTTGGGTGTCACCCCCCTGGACGCGCTCCCTAATGGGCCTAAACACGATACACGGTCCAACGGACCAAATTACGGTGTCGCAGCACCCTGGTAGATTCTGGGCGCTGACTTGTGACCACGATTCCTGTTGATTCCGAACATCTTTTGATATGAGACCACTTGGATTGGCTTTCTTATTAAACTAGCTTTCCATCCATATGTGGATCGTCGAAAACGGAGTCCGGATATATCCTGGGTGACCAGTTTAAGGCAGACTGGTCCTAAAGGCTGAGGCAGACTCGAACTTGAGTTGCTTTGGGCCTCCACCTCGGGGACTCGAACCGAATTAGCTTCGGGCCTCTTTCTCGCTTAGGACACCCTCGTTGATCTCCTTGGTCTCCATATGGTTCTCCAAGCATGGTCATATGTATGGAGGTCATGTCCTCATCAGGATTAGTATGAAAATATATATTGTGATTAACCTAACGATGATTATTTGATATCATAAATTTTAGTATTTTTTATTGGTTTGGTCAAACTTGAATTTGTTTGCATTTATTTGGGACGGAGGAAGTGCCGTGCAGTGCGTCCCTCCAGCCAAAAATCAAAGAGTTTTGGTTTTGCTTTTTTTTAGAATCAAGAGTTTTGGTTTTGCTGAAAATTATAGGGAATCTTTTAGTCATCTTAATGGGCCGCATGAATGTCAACACGGGCCACATTTCACAGTCGATCTGCCCAGTTCACCCCGCTATTAACAAACGACACGTAGGAGTAGAAAAGCAGCCCAGCCCAAATAACACGAATTATTTTCTCAAATACGTCTACTAAACGATTGGCGCCACGAAACTTTTCACCTTCTCAACAGAATCACTGCTAAATAATACGAATGTTTTGAGTTCTCAAAGAGAAATAGTTAGAACTGATTCTTATTTTTGTACTAGCAAAGAGAAAACGACATGGCACGTTTAAAAGGGAACTTTAATAAAGAGGAATAATTCTCAGGCACGTTTTATTTCTACGGATCCTGTTTACAACATAGTAAGGTATTTGTGCCGTTGGTCACGTGCAACTGCGCTTGATATGCTGATAATGCGATAGTGACTTTGCCACGACACGATTTCACCCATGACGTTGTTAAGGGCTTCTCCAACGCAACAGCGTGGAGTACTGCCCCACAGGCCACGTCCGCTTTGGTTGTCTATGTCACCGTGAACTGTAGCTCTGCAACGCGTCAGAGTCTCCTGCAGGAGATACAACCGTTCCATCTGACAAAAGTTGGAGGCAGCAGGTAGAAACGCGTTGTGATGCTGCTGGATAATGTCTTTGCTCTGTAAAGCGTCAGAAAATACTGAAGAAAAGTAGGAGACGTCAGTGTACTGGGCCCTAGTACCGGCAGCAGGTGGATTAGGCTTGTGGTAGTTTGCATTGAGGGATTGGGAGTCTAGGACCTTCCGTGCCTAGGTGTATTCCTCCTTTTTGTTCAAGCTAACACACTTGTTAGCCCGCGTTGGGGGTGGCCTAATGGCGATTGGCCGTTTAAAAAGGCGTATGATGCTATCTCAGTTATCTGTTTCTTTTTAAGCCAGATGCCACCTTATATTACTAGAGAGTAAAGGGGAATCAATTAGTCAATAAATTCAATGACGCGACCGCATCATTAGTTCATTACTACACATAATAAGACGATGCTGGAACAAGCTATAGGATCATGGCACTTTAATTTAAAAACCAGCTCAAACCATCTAGAATCTCTATCTCTATCTCTATAAGGGCCAAGCTCGAGCAAGAGATTGGGCCACGTCGCTGCATTTTCCTGGCCGTCTGATTCACATGCCAAACTATGGTCCAGCCGTCCAACCCGGTTCTCTGACCCAAAACCTCTAGAACCATCCAGCGCGTCGGCATGTTCGCTCAAGGGGAGAGGGCTGCTGCGCGGGCGGCGGGCCACCGGCCACCGGCTCCTGCGGCTGCGGGGCTCCCTGCGAGGCACCGCGTCACGCGTATGCCCCAGCGAGCCGGGTGCGGTCAAGCGGCGAAGCAGCCACTAGCGCCGCTCGAGGCCCCAGAGGTCACCGCCGCGACTTCATCCCCCTTTTCTAGGATCGTCGTGCCCTGATATCTTCGCGTGGAGGGACAGCCCCGGAGCAGGCCGCGGCCATCATCAGCACCGTTCGACACAACGATGGTTAGTGTCAACGCTGCTCCCTCCCCTCCTCCTCCGGGATGGTCGCACCCCCAGTTGCCCACTGCGGTCCACTCGCCTGTTCGTTTGGCTGTGGCTTGTCGTAAACGATCGTAAATTTCTAGTCAGAACAATATTTTTCTCTCACATAAACCAGCCAGCAGTACTTCTTCACGAACCAGCAACGATACGAACCAGCCAACCGAACCGGCCAGAACTGTAACCCTCTCTCATCGCTGCAGGCCCTACGGGGCTGTGTCGACCAAGAAGCTTGATTCAGGTAATGCCGTAATGGACCTGACTTGCTCGAAGCTGTTTGTATTCAGGTAATGGCACACCGTGGCAATCAGCAAAGAGAAATTAGGGACGATCACTGAAATGGAAAAGCACCTGATCAATGAGATCATCACCGAGCTGTTTTGTGCCTGATCCAGTGATACCTATACAGGGATACAAAGCTTTAACACTCCCAAATGTTGGAGTGAAACAGATTAGGTGCATAGACTTTCTAAATCAGAAAATGCCACATAACCAACATATAGCCAATAAACATGGGATATGCATATGCTGATATGCATGATCTTTAGAAGATGTTACTCCGTATCCTTAGAATCCTGCATAGAATGTGTGCCAAGCTCCTGAAGTCACTTATCTCAGGCTTATCATTTGGCTAAAGGATTCCCGTTGCCCCTCAAAAACAAAAAAGATCCCTACACGCAGTGTCTTCATTGTCCAAATAGGAAGTATTCCTGTGTTCACCAGGACTAGCTTTTCCATACACTGATCAGATACTCTGTTCACCAATACTGTATAGTACTAGCTTTAATGAGCATATGGAAATCCTTGATTATACCATCTAAATGAATTCAGAGGATGTTGTTATACATTTGTGAAGAAAAGGAAGCAAAAGGACACATGCCCAGAAAAATAAAGAAAAAATGCCTTCATACTGTATTTATTATATTTTCATCCTCTTAGCAGCCATCCCAGGGGATGCCAGCTAGAGCCTACTTTGAACGACTTAACATTATCTGGTACAAGTAGCTATGAACACTCAGTTCCACTACTTTTTCAAAATGCATAGGACCATATGAATTTCTATTCCTATTACAAGGAATGCAACTACCAAATGCACATCTGTGTATCACGGGGATTACCAAAGAGTATGCTGTTGTGTTCTCCATGGAAACTTTTATTCGCACCGAATATTCTTTTTCTATAATATTAGTTTCAGTATAGTCCATGCTCTGCAGGTCGCAACCCTTATGTTCGTCAATCACAACGTAAACTAAATGTAGCTTCTTGCATTTTGAATATGCGATTCTAAAATTTTGGTTATCATGTACGTAATCTGTAACTCTGAACATGTGTTTCTAAAATTTGCCATGCCACAACCTAAAATCCTGAACCTTCATTTCTGCAATTTAGCATTATGCAAGACCTAGACCACATCTCAATATAGAGAAGTACATGATATATGTTAGAAAGTACCCGACGATGCAGAACCAATGTTTCAAGATCATCTAAGTTGAGCCTTTTGGGGACCCGATGCCCCAGTCGTTCCAAGTAAGACACTATTCCAAAACATCAAATCCAGCCACAACAAAGGACTTGCAAGCTGGTTGCTCCTTGTTTTCTGGTGAATTTCTACGAAAACGTACTCAAGGCGACCAAAAAGGGTAGGACAGACTTTTTTGAGTAGAGAAGATCGATAACATTTTTCGTACAAAAATGAACCACCGCGGGACTCGTTACGAGTTACGACTAACTAGCAGGGTTAGCCTTTTACGCTACAGTTATAAATCCAATGCAACATCACTTGAAAACAAATTGCGAAGACTTGCGCACTCTTGTCAAACATACAGGCTGTCACAAAATCCTTTCCTTGAAACAAGACCAACTATTCATGGATTTACAATTACAACACGCAACGCAGTAGTGCATTTCACGCAGCCGAGAAGCTCTCTCGAGAATTCGGCTGTCCTGTTCATGAACCACCACTTGTTTCCACCCCCCATTTGCCGCGACGACCAACAGCAGTCAGCGCGAAATATTCAGAACGGCAAGGCATCCATCGAGTTTAATTTAGCAGACATTGCAGTGCATCCGATCCATGCACACTTTTTTGAGCAACGAAGGCTCTGCACTTTCAACTTTGGATGGAATATAATAATTTTGACATCAAGTCTTGAAATCAAATCAAATTAAATAAATGTATATATATAGTACTGCTACAGAGTGGTGATAACGATGAACAATTAATCAGCAGTTGAGTGTGTGTGTGGTATGAGTATATATATGATGACTCCCTCTTTTTTTTCCGTCTCTACCCAAATAGGAGTATTATATACATACAATAGTAATAAATAAATTAATTAAGACGAGGCGGCGGCGGCGGCGGCGGCGCCGTTGGCAACCACGGGGTATCCGATGCCGTGGCGTCTGGTGGGGAAGGCGACGAAGAGGAGGCTACAGAGCACGCCGACACCAAGAGGCAGGACGTCGATGAGCTCCTTGGTCTCCCTGCCTGGAGCGGGGCCCCACAGGCACGCGACGACGTCCCTGTCCCTGGCGGCGACGACCCCGAACACGGCGGCGGACAGCGCGGCGTGCACGAAGTCGAGGAACGCGAGCCTGTAGTTCTTGGTCGGAAGTGGCGGCGCGTCGGGCGGGTAGTCGATGAGCCAGAGGCCGGTGCGGGTGGCGACGCCGTAGTAGACGCGGCCGTCGTGAGGGGACTTGAGGGAGTCGGTGAAGCAGGCCAGCGCGCTGGCGACGGCGAGGATGGCGAGGAGCGCCCGGGTGAGGAGGGATGTCGTCGCGTCGCACGCGCCGTGGTTCGTGAAGGTTGGCGCGAGGAGCTTGAAGGCGAGAAGCGTGCCGGTGGGGAGGAGGTTGGCTAGGTTCGCTGTCGAGGCTAGCGCCTGGGACAGCGCCGACGTTTGAGGAGGAGGAGGCGGGGAGCCGGAGGAGTCTTGGTTCGGGAGGAGGCTTTGGTCGGCCTGGTCTTGGAGCTGTGGTGGCTGCTGCTGCTGACCGGGCGCGGCGGCGGCGGCTGGCCTCTGCCGGACCGAGGCGGAGGAGGAAGAAGAGGCCATATCGATCAGGGGGCTTGGACGACCTTGGTTGTTGACGATGGATGGATCACGACGATGGATGGTCAGTCAGAGACGAAGAAGATGGAGAATTGGGACGTGCTGTGGCGTGTGTGCATGTAAGTAAGCAGCTTGTATTTGTAAGGAAGCGACCGAGCAATAACATAAAGAAAGAATATGCATGATCCATGGATGGATGAGATGAGCAAGGTGGTGGTTGTGGAATGCGTGAAGCAAAGGAATAATAGGCGTCTTCCGAGCGCGTGGCGGGAGATTGCTGTGCCGCTTCGTCCATTCCGTGTGTGTGGTGTCGCTGTGAGGGAGGGATGAGAGGGAAGGCATGGCGGTTTGGCCACGCGACAGGCAGCGCACCCCGTTTAGATGCTAAATTTTTTTGGCTTTTGACTACTGTAGCATTTTCGTTTGTATTTGGTAAAAATTGTCCAATTATGGACTATTTAGGCTTAAAAGATTCGTCTCGTCAATTACGGGCAAACTATACAATTAGTTATTCTTTTTATCTATATTTAATATTCTATACATGTGCCGCAAGATTTGATGTGACGGAAAATCTTAAAAATTTTTGAATTTTGGATGGGATCTAAACAGGGCCTCATGCGACTTCAACTACTGCACCGTCTGCTCAATACATACGATGTTGACTCAAAATGGAAATGGTGTTGCTTGTTCCTAACAGCAAACGACGGCTGTATGTACCCGTGCTGAGGTGGATGGATCGTGGATGGATGCCGTGTGCCGCACCTGCTGCTTTATTTTGCTCCAACCAACCTATAATACAGCTTCAATAATTCATGAGTTCGTTCAAAACCTAGTATAGCTCCCATCTAAAAATAAGCACGGGTCAGGCCAGCGTCCGGACGCCCGCGTCTGGTGCGTCTGCCCGTGTCCCATGCTGTTGTGCCTATACGCATGCCTGCACCCGCTTCACGTGGGCCCCGCGTCGCTCCTTTTCCCACGTGGGGGTCGCGTCTCAATCAGCGCTCGCTCCATTTCCCACGCCTACCACTCACGCCCCCACCGCTCCCACGCGCATGCACACGAGCTCAGCAGCCACAGCAGGCGGCTGCGGCAGTGGGTCCCACCGCAACACGTGCAACACCAGATCTAGTTTTGCAACATCTAGATGAAATACTTTGCAACATACGTCCGAAACAGTTAAAACACTTACAGTATACGTCTGAAACACCAGAAAAACACGTTTGTAACCGTTGCAAAACATATAAAACATACAGATAAAACACTTGCAACATATGCATGAAATGCTCGAAACACTTAAAACATTCGCTTGCAACATGCATGTATATGCAACATCGAGATCTACTTTTGCAATATCCATATGAAACACTTGCAACATACATCTGAAATAAATGAAACATTTAGGACATACACTTGAAAACACCATTGCAACATGTGCAACATCCCGATCTACTTTTGCAACATCGATATAAAACACTTGCAACATACATCTAAAACATGTGAAACAATTGCAACAGACGCTTACAACATATAGTTTCAGCGCAATATATCCTTGCTGCTTGGGAGAATGGATCCTCGTTGGTGTATGGAGTTCTATCCTAGCCGTCGCAGGTTGCACGCGGACGAGTTCCGCCCCAGCCATGGCGAACTGGGTAGGCGGGTGCGAGATGTGCATGGGCGGGCTCTGCCCGGGCTACCGTGAGCTGCACGCAGGCGAGCTCTGGACCCGGCCATAGCGAGCTGGACAGGCGGAGGCGGAGGCCTTCAGGTCGCCGACTAGGCGTCCGGACCCCGTGGTGGAGGCGGCAACGGTCTCCCTCACCACGGGTGGGCGCCGCAGCGCGACTGATGGAGCTCGTGCGTACGCAGCTAGTGACGGCGCTCGATGCTCGTGCGTATGTGGATGATGGCGGCACTCATGCGAACGCGGGTGCTAGTAGAGCTCGTGCGTACGCGACCGAAGGATGGGCGGTGCGCGTGGTGGAGCCGATGCGAATGGAAAACATAAGATGTCGCTATTTGTCGACAGAACATCATCGGCAGTCCTCCGAGGGGTATCCCACGAAGGTAGATTGATCGGCAGAGAAGCGTGTGATCAAGAAGAAGAAGGCAACAGAGACACATGAGTTAGACAGGTTCAGGTCGTCAGTATGACGTAATACTCTACTTCTGTGGTCTGTTGGTTTGTATTAGCTATCGTATGATATTGCGTGAGTTTGGAGGGGGTCCTTGCCCGCCTTATATAGTTCGGGGGGCAAGGTTACAAGTCGGTTAGATCTGAGAGATAACCAGAAAGTAATAACAGATTATAGGAATCTTAGAATCACACATATCCTAATAGATCTAGTAGCATCTTCAGGATATCTTCCCGGTGTCTTGCGGGAGGCGCCGAGCAGAGTCGTGCCCCGTAAGGCTTCGTCTTGTGGGCTGGGCCGCCCCTGGGGGCACAGCCCATGTGGTCTGCCATGGGTATCCGGGGTTGTACCCCCCACAGCTAGTCCCCGAGCGCCTTGTACCCGTTGTGCAACGCCGTCTTGAGCTTGTCCGAGCAGGTGCGAACAAAGCCGAGCTGTCAAACTCATGGTCCGACCACCGTGATGAGTTGCCGAGCAGTTGTGAGTAGTTGAGCAGCGTGAACTGTCACCGAGCAGCGTGAACCGTAGTCGAGCAGTATAACCCAAGTATGGCTTGCCATAAGGGTGTAAGGAGCTCCAGTTTAGAATCAAAAATTTCTTCACAGTGGATCAAGTGTGCCCACTTAGAGTTCGACCACGAGAAAAGGAGATAGTCTTCTTCAGCTTGAAGAGACGCGGAGTCTTCCAGAATAAAGCAAACACATTCACCGCAAGGTGAAGTGTGCCCACTTAGTCCCTGAGCCTAACAGTAGATGACGTATTCATGTGGTGCCAGGGTCCAGAGTAGAAGAAAAATAGAAGACCAACCGAGCAGGCAGCTAGTCCCCGGGCGTAGCCCCAAAAAGCACATTCACCGCAAGGTGAAGTGTGCCCACTTAGTCCCCGAGCCTGACAGTAGGTGACATGGTCACATGGTGCCAGGGTCAAAAATAGCAGTCAACTTGGAGAAAACAGAATCGCGGAGAAAACACCGGAGTAACGGCTGTACAGTAGTAATTACGGAGCCGTACCAGTTGGCGGAGATGTCGGCGAGTATTCGGCGAGCCATAACAAATTGCGGAGACAAAATAGCGATATGGGCTGGGGCTGCGCGAAGGCCGAGGTAACGGCCCACCTTTAGTTGCAGAGAATTTGGAGAAGCTCAAATCGCGGGAACGGTTTCCCAAAAACCCTCGAATGCAAAAAGGTGGGGGGAGTGCTTTATAACTGCGCCACCGCACCCCGCACTCAAACCTTTGTCTCTTTGCCATTTCATCTTCCTCCTCAGCCGTCGCATTTCCAAATTCACCTCTACACCTGCTTCCGCCACCGAACCCTAACCAGATCTGAGAGATGGCGCCGAAGAAAGGAGCTGTGAAACCAAAGAACACGAGCCCCTAGAAGGCGAGCGCCGAAATCTGACGTGACGAAGAGTGGATGTCGTCGCGAACGGGAGAGGAGGAGCTCAACAGATTGGTGGAGGCGGGCGTTCTGCCTGACCGCGTCGCCGCCGGATGGCGGCCGGCCCTCGGTGAGCCCTTTGCCATGCCTCATACCGACGAAGTGGTGGTATTTGAGGACTGTTTCTAGGGTGGGTTGGGATTTCCTGTTCATCCATTCCCGAGGGATCTGTTGGAGCTCTGGGTGGTTAGTCTGTGCAACCTCAACCCAAATACCATATTGCACATATCTATCTTCATATATTTATGTGAGGCATATCTCGGAATCCTTCCACAGTTCAATCTCTTTCGTCACCTATTTTGGTTGAAGAAGAGAGGATGCGGTGGTTCCAAGGTGGTCGGCGGAGTATATCTTCAGTTGCGTGATGGAATGGCGGGGGAATACCTTACTATTCCGCTAAGCACATCGCTGAAGGGGTGGAACACCAGGTGGTTCTACATGAAGCAGAGCCACCCTACGGTCCGCTGCAACGCTGACCACATACCGGAGAGCCAAAAGAGCTGGTTGGAGACGCCAAACAGCGCTGATATGGAGCAAGTGAAGGAGCTCCTTGGCTTAATAAAGGGTGTGAAGACCAATGGTGGATTAGTGGTGGCATGCTTTATAGTGCGCCGTATCCAGCCCTGCAAGGAGAGGGCCCACCCCACCTTTGAGTTCAAGGGAGAGACCGATGGTACCTAGGAGAGGTCGGAGATGCTGTCGAGGGATGTTGTGCAGGAGCGGGCCGTAGAGCTGTTCGCTCCACTTGCCTCATTCAACTTGCCGGGGTAGACGAAACCCTTTCACTACAGAAATCTACCTCCTCAGGTAAATATCTCAGTTGTGTGTTCCTAACGCTTTTGTATCTTTTGTCATTGCCGAGCAGCTGACTGATTTACTCATGCGAAGATCCATTCGCTGGAAAGAGCGGTGTACTTCTCAGGCGTGCCAAGGAGCGATTGGCCGAAGGGAGTAGACGCTCGGCCACCGCTGCAGCCTGAGGAGGAAACCGTCAGCATCTCATCAGAGAGTCCATCCCCAGTGTTGGAGAAAATCTAGGGGAAGAGGGCAGCGGCAGACGAGCCGGCCTAAAAGAAGAGAAAGGTGGCAGGTGCCGCTCCCCTCAAGCGGGGTGGTATCTCACTTGGTGGTGACCAGACCACTCGGACATGAAGGACCGCGGTGTTCGAGTGGTCGGATGACAATGAAGTTCCGACTGCTCCTCCACCGAGCACGAAGGCGCCCCCGCGCAACACGCACACGGAGGAACAGTCGATTGGAGGGGAGGAAGTTCCCCAACAACAGGCGACGGGAGTCCCCGAGCAACAGGAAAGGGGAGCCCCGGAGCGGCAAGCGGAGGAAGTCCCCGAGCAGTAGGCAAGGGGAGCCCTGGAGCGGTAGGCAAAGGAAGTCCCCGAGCAGCAGGCGAGGGGAGCCCTGGAGCGGCAGGCG